GTGGTTATCTTAGATTAATTAACCTATGTTCAATTGTTTGATTTTAATTAATACTAAAAGATAGGTTTAACATGATAAGTCTGTTTATGTTAAATTATGTTAAATTACCTTGTCTAACAATTTTTTGTTTCACATCTTATTAAAAAAATGATTGTTTTTGTATTTCAATTTTAATAATCAAAACTTTTGTAATTTACTCGTATTTTAATTACCAAACTTTATTTTATTTATTAAAACACCTAATATACATTTATAATTATTAATTTTCTTGTTTTTTCTTAGGTTTGGGTGTTTTTCAAATTCTTGAATTATATTAATTTTGTATTTTAATAATAAAAAATACGTCTCAAATTTACTAAATTCAAAATTTTGATTAGATTAAATAAAGACATATGAGAGATAAATATTTATACTATATTACAAATCATTTGACAAAAACTCTTAAAAACCATTTTTTATGCATGCGGTACTGTTTATTGATGCATATTACTTAAAATTCAAGATTACAAATAAATTGTGCGTAAATACAACTTATTAAAGCTTCATGTTTGAATTCGTATAACTAACTGCAGATGAACATAATGAAATAGAGGATAAACATCTCATTTTAAATATAAAAAATCTAAAATATAATTAGGATAATAATTGAGTTATAACAAAATACTTGATTATTATCTATATAAACAAATATATTATTAAACCAAAAAAAATGAATTAAAGAAATACATAAAAAAAAAATTAAATAGTTAGTTTTAAACCAATATCAATATTTTTTTTTTAATTTTTTATGATATCTTCATATTTATATTTTATTCAAAAATAAAAATATTATTGTTTTCTCAAAACCATATAAAACCCTATTATAACATCAACTAAGGCAAAACAAAACATTAAAATCAAGATGTATCTCATTGTATTATACGAATACTCTTCTAGTTAAATATAAAAAAAATAAAAATAAAATGAACCATATGAGACAATAAAAATCTCCCTCTACCAACTAAAATCAGCCACATGGTGGATTCCCTTAGGTCATTCAACATGTGAGATGTGTGGATCATATGGAACGATACTAGAAATTTGAGTCCCATGCTCACTCAACGTTTTTTATTTTGATACTATGCTCCAATGTTGACTTATTTGGAAAAACATTTCTTCTATTTTGTGTCCAAAATAACCCTAAACCAACCTATGTAATTGTCACATAACCCGCATGAGTTGCTCATTTGTATTTATATGTGACACAACCAATCCTTTGAAAATACATATTCTTTCTCTTTATATACTAGCTGACGTTCTCCCCCTTCTCTATCTATATAGTAAATAACATCTTTCTATATAGCCTAATGTTTGTTTAGGGTTTGGAAGTTTAGGCTTCATAGTCATCGATCATGTTTCTCAAAAGGGCTAATCGAACTCTAAGTAATGCATTCCATACTCGAACTTCTTAGTTAAATGTATTTAACGTCAAAGTGTTATTCATCACCTACGATGATGTATAGGAAGAGGCATGGATCAACTGAATGAGACTGTTTAATTCTGTTGAATAATCCTTGAGCATATGAAGATCAATGAAGGAGAAAGGTGTAAACTCAAGGTTGGATTGCAAACCCAAGTACCCGATAGTGCAACAGTGGCCCAATTTTTTAATGCTCCATATGGAGTTTGGACCGAGCAGCAAGAAAATGATAGTTTATCCTGGTCATGGTTAGGTAATAACTAACATAGAAATGTATGTAGAAGGAGGGTTGAATACGAACACATCAAATTTTCAGGTTTAATTATATGTGTTTTATAAATACAAAGATTTAAAGATTGTTGTAGAGACTAGAAAGAAAATACCTAACCTAAGCATTCTACCTGATGACAAGTTTGCTCCCGAAGATATATTGAAAGAGTAAAAGAAGGTACGCTAATAAATCTGAAGAGCTTAAATAGTCTTCAGATATTGATGTTGATTTGTCTAAGAAAACATCATTCGGAACTTCTGTTAAATGTGTGATCTGAAATATCGATAAGGGTTGTCTTTTATATCCACCAATGTATCAAATGTTGTATGCCAACTTTAACATGTGCCTTCATCTGATTTTTCAATGTATGCATGCTTGTATCCTTCATTCAGCCTTTAAAAATCTAAAAGATAGGATGTATGCTTTTGTTGACCCAACTCATCCTATTATTTATAAAAGGAACATTAAAGGAAGTAAGGTACTAATAAAATGGTACATTAGATTTAATTATTTTGGTTTACATGACTAGGTTATGGATTGGTGGGAGTTGGTGAGTCAACCTGTTGGGTAAGTTTGCACTCTAAATTTGTTTGTCAGACAATATTTGTCAAACTGTCTAATATAGTACTGGTCTTTAATCGGCAAGATGACAATCTTCTCTACTTTGACATCGATCTAATTTCATTTCAATTAATCTTTGATTTTGCTGAAAGCGTTCTACTTGGACTACTATTGAATACAAGAACAAGACTTTTACAACTGAAATTCTATATGACATTTATGTGAAACATAAGAGATATTTTGGATCCCAGGAAGAACATATTACATAGAATAGGATCTTTAAATATTTCAGATCCTAGAATATCTTTTGGATCCTTAAGAGTTTTTGGATCCTATGCCATTTTCGGATCTTGATGCATTTTGGAGCCTTGGACGTTAAGATCCTCATGCATTTCAGATTTGATCCTTATACCTAAATGTTTTAATAAATTTTTTTATAGGATATAAGTGTATAAAACCAACCGTTGTGTTTTCTATATAAAATCATCTTATTAACCTTTTTTCTATACATTATTTGAAAATATGTCTTATAGAAAAGTATCATAAAATACATATTGGAAGACTACACGATTTGTTATAGTCTACACAATTTTTTGTAGCATATCTTTTCGTTATTTTCCATCCATATCGAGGAAGTGTGTTGTGCAATTAAGCCCCACAATTGAAGTTGTTATGTGAAATCCATTAGAGTACTTCTTAAAAGATCCCTAGACGAGATAAATGAGGTTCCAACATATATTCAGGAGAAATGATTTAGGTTTAGCTAATATAGGACACCAACATACTCCATCTAACAGAGGCTAGAAGGAGCCAGCTTGTTCCAGAATGTAGGACACCAACATACTCCAAATCTAGCCGATGTAGGCTCTAACATGTGAACTAAGCTAGGGATGCCATACATAAAAAGGTGGAGATATTTAGGTATTTACACTGTGAAGCACTTCAACCATCTTATTGAAAGTATAAGACATTTTTATACGGTCTTAAAAACCGTGTAAAAAAATAGATTTTTTAATAACTCTAGAACCACGTAAAAATGTCTAAAATACTAGAAAAAAAAAAGAGTAAAAACCATCCACATAAATTTGTGAAGCTTATTGCATTCACTCCTCATAAGGCTTATCCATTGCTATCCTTGATGTCTTGACCCAAAGGGTAAACTTGTCATATCACTGTTACGTGGACCATTTCTTTTGCCACGCTTTTCATGTTGGGAACTCTATATATTAATGGTAAAAAGAATTGGAGACCAAAAATGTTAAGAAAACAATCAGATATTTTGTTTAATGAAGACATAGTGGCTGTTTGTTTTTAATAAAAAAGTTCTTAATGTCCTCTTAAGTCTGAATCGGTCAGACATAAGAGGATTCAGTGTGTCTTTTTTTTTCAATTAAGAGCTTAAAAGCTTTTATTAGGTTTGAAAATTTAAGTGGTTGCGAAACCTCTTATTACTTCTTATTTCAAATTGTTGCCTACCTACTCTGATTTCTTTGTGCTCGATTTCTCTAGATCAACTCTTCTGTCTCGATCTCTCATCTCTCAACTTTGTCAAYTGTYRATCCATATCAACTCTCGATCTCTCATCTTCAAACTTCAGATTTCAGACGCAAAAAACAAACAGTCTGACTGATTCAGATTTCAGACTTCAGCACAACCTCTTAAAAGTCAGAAGTGAATTCAAACTTCAGACTTCAGCACCTCTTAAAAATCAGAAGTGAATTCAGACTTCAGACTTCAGCACCTCTTAAAAAACAAACGCCACCATAGCTTACTTGCAACAATTATCTCTCTCTCTCTCTCTCTCACACACACACACACAGATATATATATATATATATATATATATATAATCTCAACTTAAACATTAAAAAGAAAAAGAAAAGATCTTTTATCCACAGTAAACCTAAAAATCAATAAAATAAAATTACCGGATAAGTTATATCAAAATAATACAAATTCATCTTAATTTTAAATGTCTTCATGTTTAGTCGAATCGACTTTTAAAAATAAACCAATTATTATGACCTATTAATGGCATAAATACTTTTGCCATTTTAAATTACAAATAATTATGTCGTTAGTATTAGTCATTCTCTAAAAATGGCCTATAGATGTTCTATATCGTCGCTATTAAGTGGTTTTTGCAATTTTTCTATGAACATAAATCAAATTAGCTATACTTAATTATCGTATTAAAGATCAATGATTAAAAGAGAAATATCAATAATATATAAACACAAAGTTAAGTATATATAATAAAGTGTTAAATCTGAATCTGAATACGAACCGCTAAATTTCTAAATGCCATGTATGAGTTGATATGAAGTCTACAAATTTCAAAAACCATGGTGATGACATGTTGTCGCTAGATGTCTCTATGTACAACGACCAACAAAATTCCGCGCTTCTCTCTAGACCTCTTTTTTGTAGTAAATTGCAAAAATAGATTCATACTAAACCGGACGGTTTTCATTTACTAAAAAAAGACACGTACGATAACGCGTACAAAATCGATAATTTAATGGAGAGACAAAAAACCATTATGCGTTGACGAAGAGTATTCTTCTTTACAAACGAGTACATGAAAACAAAATGTTAAAAACGTGATAGCCTTCACCTATGTGTACGTTCCCCCATCTCAAAAGAAGTAGATAACATTTTAAAAACATTTAAAATGCATATATATATATATATATATATATATATATATATATACGCACACTAATACACACACATAGGACTTGATAGAAAAAAAATCTGTGAATCCTTAAGCATGTCCATCATCACAACATGTTTGGCTTCCCAGAAAACATTCACCACATGTAACTTGCTTTCAGATTCATCTCAAAGATTTTATGCCAATCCCATATCTGGTTTTCCGATCACCGGAAAATCCCGAACTCTTCTCTCTATGACCAGCACCACCACCGTTAGATGGGATACTATGATTGTTTATGCCGATGATAAACACGATGGATCTCCACCTCCACCACCATCTTCAAGCACCTGGTACGTAATCTCTTTCGATTCTTATGTTTTTGTGTTTATAAATGGAGTTTTTAGTCCTTTCTTGTGTAAGAGAACATTGTTTTTTTCCCTTTGTTTTTGTAGGAAAAATTGGGTTATCGGATGTTTAATGACATTTATTGTACCCTCCATCACCACCAAAGGAGGTCCTATAAAAGTATTTATGAGTACGTACTTGTAAAGCTTTTATTAGTCGTTTAAAAATTAAATTAAGCTTGTTTGAGCAATTTATATAAGACCTAATTCAGACCATGTGTGCAGATAAGCTTGACCACCTGTTTGATACGGCTGAGGAAATATCGGATATAGTGGAAGCAGTGGCAGATAAGGTGGATAAGGTGGCGGAGAAACTTTCCGATGATATGCCTGAAGGTAGCAAACTCAAAAACACATTGGAATTCATTGAACAAGTGGCTGAAAGACTAGAAAAAGACGCTGAAACTGCCGGAGACTTGATTGATAAGGTTTGACTTTTCTATACCCTTGTAACTTTTGTTCGTAACCTATATCTTCTAGCACCTTCCTAGTTCTTGTTTGCAATTTATTCGTTCCTTTTACTAAAATGCAGGTTCAGGAAATTCAGGAGAAAATAGAAGATATATTGGAGCCCATACTAGATGAATCTGAGGAAAGTGAAGAAGAAGAAGAAGAAGATCGTAAATGCAGATTACGGGAAAAGCTAAAACAAATAGAAAAGCATAAGCACAAGAACGACCACAAGCATAAGTAAGAAATGGTTTTTTTGGTTGGACAAGTTAATAGACATGTGATTAATTTTTTTTTTATCATGTCACATACGAGGTAGTATATAAAATTTTAGGGTTTCGTCCCATAGGGATTACAAGTATGTACAAGTTGTTGAATATCCTTGTAACGCCATGGTTACCAAAACGTTTAATTACCATTTTATCTCTAAAACTTATCATTTCAAAACCACCAAAATACGGGTTATTAATTTTAATCAAAACTTCAAATGTCCACTTTTAAAATATTGATTTATAATCGTTACCAACCACATCAGTAAAATGAACAAACAACCAAAGGATTAAAGTTTACAACCCGAAAAGTGGATTTACAATACTTAGGGAACACATCCACGGGATATACAACTATATACACAACCATCAAATGGACATTTTATGACAAATATACCAAAAGATTGAATTGACAACTTCTATTCAACTCACGATCTACTTCTCTACGCACTTGCTCTTATCTAAGACTGTTTTGCCTGAAAAATGTAAGATAATACGGGTTAAGCATTAAAACTTAGTGAGATAAATGAACTAGTCAATATATATTGACATTATAAAAATATATACGAACGAAAATATAACCAAGACGATACATAGTTCATGGAACGAACTGACCAGAACATCATACCAACTCATACCAGGAGTATACAATTACCATCCTCAAGACGCTAAATGTCGAGGATCGACCATTTCTAGCAACAACAATTTTTAACACGACTTATTCAAGAAGTCATGCCAAAACAAATTAAACATAACATATTGAAAGTGCATCTCTTTCGAATCAATCAGAACAAGCCTTATCACAATTTAACGCCACATAACCATAAGACATAACTATTAGAAATCATTAGACATTGTACCAACTCGACCTTCCCCTTTCAGGTGTGCCAAAGTCCTATACTCACACCCCTCCTACCACTGGGCAATGAGTACGGCAAACCGAATGTCTCACAAGCCTCCCCCTTCACCCGGGTTATCGACATTCACTGTTACTTTCAGACGTACCACACAAAGTAGTACTCGTACTCCCGATATCTTAGAGCAACAAGGAAACAATGCTAACGAAATCTAGATCCGAAACCAACCAACATCACGGAAAGGATCACGTAACACAAACGACTAAACCGGGACCAAAGACCAACCATCAAGATCAGGAAACACATGAAAAAAAATACACATGAAGGAAATACATATATATAAATATAAATACTATATAGATCAATTAGTCGTTTAACTCGCAATGCTACCGATAGTCAACCGGAAGTCAATTCGGAAGCTATGTCCCAACTTCATTATCCCATGCTGAGGTATCCTCCAAATTTTTGGACAACAGTTGCTCAAGATAGTACCTTAACTAGAGAACTTTCGTACTTGTATTTTCCATTACAACACTCTATTTCTCCCATGTTTTACCCCACTTAGACTCAAAATAACTTAATGACTTATAAAGATTAAATAAAGTAGACTCTCATATCTTTTAGATAGAACTTACCTCATATATACAGGAGTTTCCTTTGATTTTATACGAATTTTGCAACACAGCAGTTACAGGCAGTCAAAATGCAGTTTGACAACACTGTACGAAGTGCACTTTTTACCCATCTTAAAGTTGTAATTATATTATGATGTCTCTATATAAAATAAATAAACATTCATACCTTTCAACTGCCACTGACTGTACTCGCCCTTATACGACTTTTCTACGCTTTTATACAATTTTTCTAAAATAGGGTAAAAACATTGACTTTCAATTCCCAAAATAGCCATTTATACAATTTCATGCTCAATTCTACACCTATTGTACCAAATCCAAATGTTTATCATAAAATAGCATAATATTCATAAAAACTTTAGAAATCTAAGCTTTTTCCATCAAAATCATCATTTTGGCAACTTTGACTTTGAAAAGTCAAACATTCATACTTTCATCCAATAATTTCAACTAATTAATGTAATTTTATCCATCATTTTTACGAAATTACAAAAAATATATATCCTAATATACTCAAAATACTAAGATTCTATCAATATCACATCAAACCCTAACCCTAATCTCCATTAAATGATCCAATACATGAACTAGACAAAGTGATGAGCTGTATACCTTCAATTTCTTATTTGATTGACCAAGAATGATGTTAGATCACCTTCTATGTGTGTGAAATCGCACCTCTGTAACCCCAAAAGTTTGTAGAAGTAAAATAGGGTGAAAATGGGCCAAAATCGGGTTTTCCCGACTTAAAATCGTACATATACCAATTTTGGGTCGGGTTTGACCCAGCTGGGTTGATCCAACACCCCTTTTGATCTGCAAACACTTAAAAATTCATAAATTTTCGCTTGGACCTTCGTTTTCGATGACACATAATCCACCTTATTAAACACATAATATACATTTAAAGGCATTAAGACATATAGTTAGAGGGCATATGTTACAATCCTGCATGTTAGGTTGTAGTTGTATTGGCTATATACAGACTATAGGTTCTTTAGGTGTGTGTACGATGGCCATACACTCTCGCATCATGTGCCAAGTCAATAGTGTCCAACCATTCGCACCACTCTAGTGGTGCGTGCGAATGGTTGGACATTGTTGTCACATGATCTAAGTCGCAACCAAGGTGGTGTGCAAATGTAGGTCGGGACTTTAAACCCTTTATGGCTACCACTATCCATGACCCAAGTCGTGCACCTTCTGGAAGCGCAAAAATCCCTTCTGTTAACCTTTAGACCTTGCGACATGCGAAGGCGATAAAATGCAACAAAACACCATAAAATTAACAAGTTTACATCAGAAGTAATTAACTCTATTAATTCCTAGTTGCATTCCTCTAAAAATAGGGGTGTTACATTATGTCCCTTTGTTTTCGATGTCTAAATTGAACATGGGGCATGGATGTGTCATCTCTGTCGTTAGTTTCTTGATTCCTTTATATATTGACAAAAAAATAAAACCACATACCACTTATCTGAGCATGTACACATTTCCTCAGTACTATTAAATAATAGACGTAGAGACATCAATCTTGTCATACAAGAGCAACAAATCCCATCTCGATTCATACTAGTATTGGTAAATGATAAATGATAAACCCAACAACTATTCAGTCACCTAACTACGAGATGATTAGAATCAGTATCAAATGATGCCACTTGGATGTAGCAAACTCCATGATTTCAAGTCAAATGACTATATATGCAATGACCACATGAGAAACACTAGTATCACTCATATGACTTCCAATGCGGTGTTCTCATTTCTAGTCACGTCGGATATACATAATCACTATCTTGTACACATATGGAATTATATATCTCCATATGAGTTCCAATATATGCTAGTCATTACCATATTACTTCAAATTTAAGCCCAAGGTAATATTTGACTAGGGACATTTAAAATATTATTTTAAAGATATCTTTACGTTTAAGTATAGTGAATAACAATACATAACAATTGGGCAATTCCTTTCATCAATAAATAGCATAGTAAAATGGCTAAACATAAATTAACAGTGATTCAGCGACACCAAACCCACCTAGAGGCTACGTAACCTAGGTTTGTTTCCTTGGCCGCAAGTGTTGGATAACATAGGGCAAGGGTGATACTGAGATGAACTTTGGTACAATAATCACGAGCTAGGGAAGACCAATCACAACTTTGGTACAATAATCACGAACTAGGGAAGACCAATCACAACTTTGTCAAGCAAAGTTGCTAGATCATGTTCGTCTATTGAAGTCATTTGGTACATTTTTTTGAAAGCCAATCATGAGAGGTGTGGCCTTAATAAAGATTATGAGTAGCTGAGTTTTGGACGTAGGCAACCAAAGCCACATGACCTAAGTTAGCGAGTGAGGTCGCATTAGGTCCACAGTCATATTGAAAGCTACAATTTTCGTATTAAAGGCTATGGTTTTCATTAGGTAGTCGTATTAAAGGGCTATGGTTTTCATTTAAGTTAGCGAGAAAAGGAGAGGGTTCTTAGACTGTGCAAGTCTTTAAAGCTTGTAATCATAAGAAATATCTTTTATTCTTTTCCTGTATTAATATACTTACTCTCCTTGTGGATGTACACTATCTCACTGGTAGTGGAACCACATTAATAATCGTGTTGTTTGTTCTTTTCAATATTTTGTGACATTCATTGCATTGCATGCACTACAACAAAATTAGATTTATAGGACACCCTCAATCTCTAAGTGTCTTTAATAGACCACTTTATATAACTTCATTTATAGGACCAAAATATAAAACGTCTTATCTAAAGGTGTTGTAATAAGTTTGTATGATGCTTTTGGGCGTCTTAACAAGGTTTTTAGGACATTTTTAATACAAAGTGTCGCATTAGCAACTTTATAAGACACTTTTGAAAAAGTGTCCTATAAACTCAATTTTTATAGGACAATTTTTCGAATATTGTTCTATAAAGTTGCTAATGAGACGCTTCATATTAAAAATGTCCTAAAAAACTTATTACGACATCAAAAAATGTAATATAAACTTATTACAACACATTTAGATAAGACGCTTTATTTTTTTGTTCCTATAAAGTAAGTCTTATAAAGAGGTCTATTAGGACGCTTAGAAATTAAGAGTGTCCTGTAAATCCAATTTTGTTGTAGTGATGGTTGTAATTCTTTCTCGTTGTTTGCCATTAATTGAACAGATCTAGATTTTATTTGTATTTCCACATTTATTGTTAAACTTAGTTCCCTAGTCATTTGATTGACGTTAGTACATTGCTCACGATGGTTAAAGATTGTCCAACCATAAATGTATTTTTGGGTCAAGAAAAGAAGCAATATTTCATACCGCCATGGACCGAAGACTGCATCTTATATTTTGTGTTCATTAAACATAAAATATTACATAGTTAATCGATTACTTTCATTGTCTCATTTTTCTGTTTATGTTTTTCCTTTTGAAAACATATCCATTAAGGTTAGAGAACATCAACATTTCATTATTATGCATGTTTGTTAAGATCATTATAATTTATTAATTATAATACTAATTTTTTATCAATATTATAAATATTTATTCAATAGAGAAATATCACGTTTAAACACATACGTTGCAATTTATGATACAAATGAGATGATTAAAAATTATATTTGTCTTATTCATTTGTTGGTTTGTGGAGTTAGGTGACCATTGCG